AGTCCCGCAAAAAAATTCATTTAATTACGGTAAACACATGTAGAGGTATGTCGTGAAAACATTATATTTTCAATGTTTGAATTTATAAAAAAAATATATGGGACAATTCCGGATTAGATTCTGTTAATCGCAAAAAGGATTATCGAAATCGATACAGATTTGTTGAAGATATCGCGTAGCAAACACAATAAAATATAGACAAATTGAGGTCCTTCTTGGGAAGTCCCTTAGAAATACAAACCGATACACCTACTTACAAATAGGATTACACAATTATATTTTCGTCATATATTCTTCCTGTTAAGTTGAGGTTTTTATATATAAAAAGTATAATTTTTAACCGACTTCGAAAAGAAGGAGGTTCTGAATTCAACCATCCATCAACCATCTGGACGAGTGGCAGTCTTCCACCGTGCGTTTTTTAAGGCACTTTGTGGTAACCACTTTTCATAAGATGGACCTTCAGCCTTTTAAGATTCTAATTTTCATACGAAGCAAAAGTGATTAACAATATTTCATTGTTCGATTACAATATTTGAAAATATATAAACTCAACAGTACAAGTACGAGGTTTGTCCGGAAAGTACGTATAAAAGTTTTTTAAAAATTTTATTTTACAATTATTCAGGTAAATCAATTTTATCCCCTTCAAAGTACTCCCCCTGTGACATAATGCACTTGTGCCAACGCCGTTTCCACTGTGAGAAGGCTCCTTGAAAGTCCTCTGGTTGTAGGTTTCTCAGCTGCCCCGTCGTAGCTTTTTTTATCTCATTTATGTCCCCCAAATGCCGCCCCCGAAGTACCAATTTGGTTTTTGGGAACAAGAAGAAGTCACACGGGGCCAAATCCGGCGAATAGGGGGGTGTTCGGTCACCGTAATGGAATTTTTACTCAAAAACTCACGGACAACAAGAGAGGTGTGGGCAGGGGCATTGTCGTGGTGAAGAATCCAACGCCCCTCTCGCGCCAATTCTGGACGAACTCGTGCCACACGAGCTTTGAGGCGTCTGAGCACATCGACGTAGAATTTTCCATCAACTGTCTGGCCTGGAGGGACGAATTCTTGATGGACAATCCCCCGAACATCGAACTCTTTCTCGGCCCTCTCTGAATCTTTTTAGCCACTTGTGGACGGTTGGTTCCTTCACAGCATCATCCCCATAAACTGTTCTGAGATCGGCAAAAATTTCACGGCCATTCTTGCCGAGTTTCGAGAGAAACTTGATTACGACGCGCTGCTCTTCAACGGAAGCGGGCTCCATGCCGACGGGGTTTCGTTAAGAGGTAACTTCACAGATGGCGTGACAAGCCAGTTCGCACCGCACGGCGGTCAGACCAGAACTGAAGCATTGTTAGGGACATAAGGAAGGGGTCCTGCGCTTACCTGGCCTCCCCACTCCTCTTTCTCGCATTCCAGAACACTTTTATACGAACTTTCCGGACAGACCTCGTACAGCATTAGGCAACATAAATATGTTGATATCGCAAATGGCTTTTTTATACGCAACTACAATAAAATATTCAATAATGGCCGACTCTGTTCTTAATTGGGGACAGCGGAGATAAGTAATACGACGTCCAAGGAGAACACCATCAAAAGATGTATCCTTACTTGACAATAAAGGGAAGATAATTAATAAAATGTCGCTGCGACATGTTTGCGAGCGCTAAATAATTATGGATATGATCTGTATTTTAATTTTGATATATACAATAAATGTACATAATCTAATATATAAATTTCTCGTGCCGCGGTGTTTGTTACCAAACTCCACCGAAACGGGTTTACCGATTTTCATGAAATTTTGTGTGCATATCGGATAGGTCTGAGAATCGGCTAACATCTATTTTTTAAATTCATCAATGATAAGGGTGACCAACCCCTAAATATTTATTTTAATTTTTATGACAATTTTTTTTATTTTTATTTTAATATGATTTAACATTGAAAAATACATACAAAATCAAATTTTCACGCTTTTCAGATCAATCCCTGTTTTTAATCGCGATTTTTATATGTCGCAATAGGGTTGAAAGATGGCAATCGAATATAATAATTGTAGTACGAAAAAATTACATGTATAGTTCTCGAAATAATGTAGGTATATGGTAAAACAACATTTGCTAGAGTCAGCTAGTATACATATGTATATATGTTTATTTTATTTATTTATTAAAGTCTTATTATTGAAAGAGAGACTTTTTCAGGCAGAAAGGTCTGTGATTTTACGACCTATTCTATGATATTTTATGCTCGCCCTCTTTATGTTGTCTGAGCTTTAGGCTTCGAGGTATGCCACAATAAGGTTCTGGTCCTATTTCGACATTCTTTGCCCTTTCCTTTGCTAATTGGTCAGCTATTTTAGTTCCATGAATATTTGAGTGGATTGGAATCCAGCTCAAGATAATGTTATTTCTGCTGCCCAAGTCGTTTAACAACATTATGCAATTGTTTATAAGTATTAAACCATACGAGTATATACTCGTATATGTCAAATTAAAGTTTCCAATAATTCTTCAGTCATGGAAAACATTGATAACAAACTAAATTAATCCTAGATAATCCTAATAATTTCTATTCATTATAAATAATTTTTATTCAAGTAAACTTAATTATATTCTTTCTTTCCAGTGGATGTAGTAAGAGGCAAATAAGGTCAGCTGCGATCCTTTTAAAACATCACCAAAACCTGTTGTCAACCCACCTGCTAAGCATGGCAACTAATGGCAAACCCCCCTTATGGGGAAGCCAATGTTTAGCAGTGGACAAATAATGGCCGATATGATGATGATGATGGAACTTAAATATTAATATTTTTTTAATTAACTTTTATGATTATACTGTCTATATTCTATTAAAATTAAAATAAAACAATCACTCGAGTATGTACATCGTATCAGTTGCTAAAAGAATTATAAAAATCGGGTCACAATTGATAATGTAATTGCGTTGTAAAAAAAATTAAATAAATTAAAAACCTCCTTTAAGGACGAAAAAAGCTCCTTTTGAAAAGTTCATTGAAAATTAAAAAATAATCGTAGCACGGACATATGAATGAAAATGCTAAAATGGGCAGCTGTGAATGTTAAATTTATGTTAGACTACTAGTCGGTTATTCCTTGGATGCCTTCGGGGCAGTTCAGGGTAGTAGGGGCTCACCCACCCCACCCAAGTATTATACCCGTATCCACGAGGATTTCCCCACGGAAAAAAGTTACGAATCGCTTGGAAGTTTGCTTAATCGATTTCAAAAAATCTTCTTTCATTTGAAAAACTGCTCTATTGTATACTATTAAGATTAAAAATTGTATATGAATATTTTACGAATTGCAAATGTAAATATAAATAAAACATTATAAAATATAATATACTTCTAAGTTTCTAAGTCGGCTTCATTATTATTCCAAGTTATGATTTAATGATGAATTTAATGATAAACAAATATAAAAAAATAAATAAATAAAATAAAGGTTTTAACTAGAAAATTTAAAAAATTACATTTAGAAGATTAATTCAATTTTTAATTGAAGAATAATAAGTATATATTTTCAAAAAAAAAATCCAAATCAGTTCAAAACTGATGGAGTTATGAGGTAACAAAAATAAAAAAATAACAGAATTGAAGACTATTAATCTAGATTTCATTTAGCTGAATCACGCTATATGATGTCAAATTATGTATATATTAAACGGTCATCTATTCGATAAAAACCGCTCAGGTACGAATTGAACTCACACAATGAGGATTCCGTACACAAAAATATAATTTAAAGAAAAAATTACTTTCATTGCATTTTTCTTACTAAAAGTACACTCAATAGTTATTATTATTGATACTATTGATACAATTTCTTATTTTAAATCATGGTTTAAAACATAATCATGGTTTAAAACTGAACCGCACAAGTATGTTTGTTTTTGGAAGTCTTTTTTTTATAATTTTTCAAAACCGGTGCTAGTTAGAAACGTTGTTTTATTTTTCCTGTTATATTCACATATATATTTATAAATTGTGATTATTTTGGATATTTCGTTACACGAATTCGGAGATTTTTATGCAACTTAGAATATCAAACAAGTTGACGGCCCATCTGATAGAAAGCGGTAACCGTCGCCTATAGACAGGAACACCATGGACATAACAGTTTCGCCCATGATACCCCCATGCGTAGCCTCTCCTGAGGAGTGAGGTGTTATTCCTCTGTACTTTGTAAACGCACTGCCATATTCCACCCTTCAAACCGAAACACAGTCATGCAAACTCAACTGCTTCACGATAGAAACACGAATGGGACAGAGATGCCCAAACAAACGACTTCAAAATAATAAGATATATATATATATATATATATATATATATATATATATAGGGGACAAGGGACAATGGTTTTTTATAAAAATAAATAAAAATCAATTGTAAAATATAAGAAATAAAGCCCTTTCATATGATATCCCACTTGGAGTTCCACTTGGAGTTTAATTATTTAATTAAAATAAGCTAATTAAGTAAAAAATTAAGTAGCTAATTAATTAAAGTAGGTTAATTTGGAAATTTTAAGTACACATTTTGGACCCCCCGCCCCGCCCCGCCCCGCCGAAAATGTAAATACAAGTATTTTTTCAATTATTTCTATTGCAATATGTGCAGACCAACAATATACAAAAGTATTCCAAATTTCAAATCGATAATGCTATATTTCAGCAATCACAAATACTTGTGATTGCTGAAATATAGCGCTATGATGAACGGACAGACAAAATCACACCATAAGGATTCTTTTTTAACTTTTTGGTACGGAACCCTTAAAACAATCTAATTAACATTGCTAAACCTTGTCAATCAAGAGCAAGCAATAAAAGCAATTGTTTCATGTATAATATTAATTTGATATTAATATAATCCACATATAGAGTATTAACTTATTAAGTTCTGAATAAATAATTATTTAATTCAATGTAAGTATTCGTAATAGTGTTAATTAATTAATAAAGCGCTTACCGTGTTCATCTTTGTACCGCCGACATAGGGAAAACATCCTGCGATTTGGATAACACCTGTAAGAAATAAAATAAAATTATTTACCCTCAGTATCAACTAGAAATACTAGTGTTTGACAGGATGTAGACTACAGGGAAATAAAACCGATCACGTACGAATTGAACTCATTCTCCGAGGGTTTTGTACTTATGTATAAGGGATAGAATTACTTTTATTGTATTTCTTCTATTCTCATACAAAATAGATACTTAATAATCATTACTATTGATATTACAATTCGTAATTTCTTATTATGGGCCGTAACTGTAGTTAAAAACTGGAGTAAGTTTGTTTTTGAAGGTTTTTTGATAATTTCTCTAAAATGGTATTACACTCGCTAGCAACCAAATCGACTCAACCCTTGACGACGCACATATGCATTGATTTTACTAAAATGACAAATGTCCATTATAAAAATGATATGGCCTTCGAAATCTTAAGATGTCAGCTTTAATTTGATATCATTATCATTGAAATCTATCAATTATTTCTTAATTAAATGATGTCTGATCGTAAATAGGAATTTAGGAAAAGGGCCTTGGTCGCGTATTTTGGAAATTAAACAAAATATGGTAAAAATTAAAAAATATATCTTAAATCAATACTTTGTATTGACCCCTCTAGCCCTTACTACAGCCTGCAGTCTGTTTTCCATTGATGTTATCAATTTTTTGACATTTTCTTGAGGAATGCCCACTCCTCTAACAATGCTACTTTTAGCTCATCTACGCTTGAAGGGACTGAATTCCTAGCCCGCACTTTTCTTTTAAGCTCAACAAACGTTTTTTTGTTTTTTTCTGTAATATTTACATATACCTTTATAAACTGTAATTATTTCAATTTTTTCGCTACATGAACTTAGGAGATTTATTTATTTATATGCTTTTGTACATTCACTCATAGTATGTTTATGGTAAAAATGTACACAGCCGGACTTATCCCTTAAAAGGATTTCTTCCAGTCAACCTTGATAACTCGAAAGGAGAAAGTGTCCATAGAGTTTGTATATAAAACATATATAAAGCATAAAGATTTGTATATAGAGATAAGGGGGGGAAGGGTGTTATTCTCACATTTTCTATCATAACTGACAAACTAATCAACATAGAAATAAGTTTTAATAATATACAAAATAAGCCTGAGTCCTCAGGAATGGCCACGCACGGGGGGTATCATGCGCGAAACAGTATACTCTGTTATGTCCATGGTACTGCTCATGTCTATAGGCGACGGTTACCACTTTCCATCAGGTGGGCCGTCAGCTTGTTTGCCATTCTAAGTAGTACAAAAAAAAATAACAAAATAATTAAACAAAATAATTCTAATCAAGTAATCAGTTATATGGACTTCCGCAAGATAACACCTTGTTTAGTAAAATATTTATATCTAGATGTTTCCTACGATTTTACTCGCGTCAATCAGTATATTTTTATATACTGATAATAGTTTTATCTTATATGTTAATTTAACAACCTACCCGCATAGTTTTATTCAGATTCATAATTTCATCCCAACCATCTGGACGAGTGGCGGTCCTCCACCGTGCGTTTTTCAAGGCACTTTCTCCCACGCACAACCACTCTTTGGAATCAACTTCCAACAGCAGTATTTCTGAACCGATACATCATAACTTTCAAGAAAAGAGCATACTCCTTTTTAAAAGGCCGGCAGCACACCTACAATGCCGTTAATGTTGTGGGTGATCATGGGCAGCGGTAGTCACTTACCACCAGGTGAGCCGCATGCTCGTTTGGTGTTGTAAAAAAATAAAAATATCCGTTCAGATGTTTAAGCGTGATTGAGTAACAAATAAACAAACATCCAAACATTTTTAAACGATCACATTTACAAGTCTTTCAATTGTAGCTAATTTTAAAGTCGTTTTTATCTATGGAAATAGTCATTTTATAAATTCATCATTTTCTTTTTTTTTTTTAGCCGTGCAGATCCCGGCATTGAATAAGCCACCGCTTCCTTTCCCATGGGCGTCGTAAGAGACGACTAAGGGAGCTTATGGTGAAGGGACGGGCAGCGTCTTAAAACATCGCCAACGCCAAATCTTGCCAAACCAGTAGTTGCCTGCCAAGCGTGACAACTACTGGAAAACCCCTCTTATGGGGTAGGCTATGTTCAGCACTGAACAGTCAATGGCTGATACAGCATACAATATAATTAATTCTTACTCTAAAATAGTGATTTTATTGTAACAAATAAACTTACTTTCACATTTATAATTCAAAAATAATAAGGGCCCACTATTCACTTTGATGTTACAAAAGTTTATTTATTGATAGTAAACGCCCTTCCGCTCTAAATAAACCCTTTCAGAATAACCATCCGTAATGCTGTGAATGGACAAACAAACCCCTAAACTTTTTCCACATAAATTTTATATAGAAGCTCCAATCTAAATTTAGCCGGAATCAATTAATCTCGTGTTTCATGTGCAGGGTGTTTTTTTAATGGGTGATAATGGAATGGCAACCCCACCTGCGCTAACGGTATATACCGGCGGGGCACCAGTGAAGGATGATAGGTGAGGATGAAGCAGGTCAGTTAGCCTATCGTGATAAATTCAACAAGAATTGAAATTCCAAGAGGAATCACGAGGTCGACCTAATAGGGCATATTGCTCATTGTGTCATGGCCCATTCCGATATCGCCCATATCGGTCGGTCGGATATCTATTTTCGAATGTGTTAAGGAATTGTTATCAAATATTATTTTTTAAATACCAGACCTTTAACGTATTCGTTATTGGACCAGTCTATATATATATATATATATATATATGTATTTCTCGTAGGTGTCTTAAGAGGCAACTAAGGGAAATTAATGTTCTAGGTATGAGCACCAGCGGCCCTCTTAAATCATCATCAAAGCCTGACTGCAGTTGTGAACCCGCCTACTAAGCTTGGCAACAACTAGTAAAACCCCCCAATAGGGGGAGGTCTATACTCAGCAGAAGACAGTAATTTACTGATTTGATGATGAGATGACTGTTAGTATTAAATAAATACAATTATTTAATAATAATAATAAAAAATTCATATTAATTAAACAAACATACAGTGAGAAATAAAAAAATTAATAATACCCGTAGGAATTGTCTACGGCTTGTTATTCGTAGCACATGCTACACGTTACGTAGCGTGAGAGTCGTAGCAAAAGCCGTAGCAAATCCGAGAGCTCTTTGTAAAATTTGTACATTTATAAATATTGTGCCCAAGGTACAGGTCGTTTGTTAATATAACTTGTTTAATGTTAAGGTTTAACAATATAATCGCTACTAGCGATCCACCCTGACTTCGCACGGGTGGAGAGAAGTTTTAAAAACAAATATATAGTTTATGTTACTCTATAAAAGAAACATTTTTTGAGTTTACCTAAAGCCACCAAAGCCTAACTGCGGTTGCTACCCGCAGTGTGCCACTACTGGCAAACCCCTCCTTATGAGGGGGGAAAGGAATTGTTAGTAATGGAGACTGAGAATCCCATTGCTAGCAATATACTCAACCAGGTCGACCTCCTCGCGGTTCTCCCTGGAAACTATCATGGTTAATTCCTGATGAATTCATCATGATGGGCTAACTGACCTGTTTTCATTCTCATCTATCACCCTTCACTGGTGCTCCGCCAGCGTATCCTGTTAGCGCAGGTGGAGTTACCATACCATTTTCACCCATAAAAAAAAACCTCCTTATGGCCTATATTCAGCAGCAGACAGTTAACAGCTGTTCTGAATAATGAATAAAATCACACAATAGAGGCTGTACTAACGAATATTGCAAATTACTCTCTTTCAAAACTATTAAAAAATAATATTGAAAGCTATTGTAGCGTAACGCTTAACTATGGCGAATGGCAAGGACGTAATCAGAGACATTTTTTTTCATAAGTTTTTTTTTAAATTTTCATATTTTTTCTTAATAAGTTTATTATAAAAAACATAACACTCTCCATACTGGTTTTATTATTAGTACTGTTATATGAAACCTCAAAATAAATTGGCCATTTATTTATAATTTTAATAAAATTGCTCCAACATTCCACTCCTATAATCCTATTACGCTTGTCAAATTAATTGTAATTAATTACGCGAATACAATTAAACTCTTTTATATTTTTATTAGCTTTATAAAACATGCGAATATTACGATACATACCCGTGTAAAGCCCAATGTTTTACGAGTATGTCTTTAATTAAATTAGGTACCCGTAACTTATTTATCTAGTACACGTATTTACGTTAGGATCAGTTAGAACCAAATATTAAGAGCACGTAAATATTTGTAACATTGCTACGTATATAACGTATGTGAAATTTATTTTCATTTTAGCAGAATATGAGTAAACAGTGAAGAGGTGAAATGGTAACAGGCAGCTATGTCGTTCTAAGAACCGATACGACAAGACGTACTAGTCACGGATATCACTTTACGCGGTATTAAATGGTAACTGTATATTGATTTTGAATATCAGATATCGGAACTAGGTTTGTTTTTCCAAACCTGTGTATTGGTTGATTTCTGTGGTAGTTCGAAGCTAAAGTGGTTGGTACCGCTTGGATATCAACTTTTATTATGTATTTACAATGAATACCATTACTGTCAACTTTTCACAAGCATTTTGTATTTGTTTATATAAAAAAAAAATTACGAATAAAGATTATAGACTATAATCTTTATTCGTTATTTTTTTTTACTTTTACATAGTTTAAAAACATGGGCTGGAATCTTCTTTTAGGTATAATTAAACACATAGGGGGTATCATGGGCGAAACAGTATACTCTGTTATACCCATGGTACTGCTCATGTCTATAGGCGACGGTTATCACTTTCCATCAGGTGGACCATCAGCTTGTTTGCCATTCTTAGTTGTAAAAAAAAATACCTGTTTCTCAACTCCGTTCATCCAGTGTTCCTTACAAATACCTATGTATGTATAAAAACTATTTGTCTAACTTTAGTGTTTTATTACATTCATATTTATATTAGTAATATTTATTTATTTAAT